GGAAAATAAATAGTTACTAACGTGATCATTAATTGGAGTCTGGGAGAACCATTTCCCCCCTTCCCAGAGTAAGCCATCAGACCCAAATGGACGCTCTCATTGGCATACAAATGCCTTCATAATTCAATGCTAGATAGGGAAAGAGGACAGAGGCAGGGAAGAGGAGAAGAAAGGGGGAGGAAAGAGATACACACCAGGACGAAACAACTTAATTGCAGCAGCCTTTGCTCGGAGACGCTGAATGCGGATGGCGGCTCACACGTGATACAGGAAAAAAGAAATAAATTAATGGCACATTGGAGAATTCCTAAGCACAGGGCATCACGCCTGGCATCAGGCCCCGTGATGGTAGGAGCTGTTTGACAGCGGAAGATGCTGCCTGGGAGGGTGGTAGAGTCTCCTCCTTTGTTGGTTCTTAAAGAGAGGCTGGATGTCCATCTGTTGGGAGGGCTTTGATGGTGTCTTCCTGCATGGCAGAATGGGGTTGGATTGGATGACCCTCGGGGGTCCCTTCCAACTCTAGGATTCTAACTATTTTGCAACACCTTTGCTGCCCCATTTCAGGACCTGCTACTTAACCCAGCAGCCCTTGGGAGCTCCCATGTCAGTAGGACGGCAAAGCCACCCCAGGTTTTTATTCACAGCAGTTATCCATTTAAATCTATTGGTTCAGCACCATGGAAAGCTATCCAGAGTGGATTCCTTACCCCATCAACATAGGAGCAACTCACTTTGCAACGGCCTTCCCCAGACCTGGTGCCTACCAGGTTGGGACTACAGCCCCCATCAGCCCCAGGGAGATCTTTATTCAGGTGGTAAGGATGATGGGATTAAGATTTATGAGTAAAGTTAGTTCAAAAATACATGACTAAGGAGTCCGTATGGGGTGGTATGGGGGGAGGTCAAGAGGGGAGTGACGCCATGAATTACGGCACTGGGTGACGCCAACCCCAGTGATGCCAATGTATTCCCGGAACAGGGGGAAACTGCTTGCATTTGCAAAAGCGACATGTTGCAATGGCCTCTATATTTGGAAGCTTAGATTGTCCAAAACCACAACCTTTTTGTTGGGGGGGGGGAACATATGCAAACCATATATAGCCTCCCACACAACACTTTTTGTGTTTTGAAAGGCCAGAAAATCAAAAAGGAACCTTCCCGAAACCATCTGTTCCCCTCTGAACAACCCCTGACTTTCCAAACGACAGTGAGTCCTCCACATTCGGTGAGGTTAGGGGCCCAGGAGCCCCATGAAAGTGGGGAAAAACATTAAAAACACCTTTTTTAACTTTAGAGAGCACCTCTCTAGGAATCTCTTGGTCTTCCAACACAACCTCAACTGGAAGTTGATCACAGAAGCATGCTGGAGGACCTATAAATTGCCTAGAGAAGTATTTTTCTCTAGGAATCTCTGGGTCCTCCAGCGCAACTCTATGGACAACTCCCGGCAGAGGTTGACCACAGAATCACCCTGGAGGACTTACAAACGCCTAGACAAGTGTTCTCTCTAGGAATTTCTAAGAACTCCAGTGTGACTCTATGGTCATCTTCTAGCAGATTCCTAGAGAGAACATAACAATCAAATCCGCAAAGAATCTATATTTTTCTTTTTAACTACAAGGCAGCCCAGAGGTCTATCTATTAAGCCCTTAATGGTGGACTCCTAATAAGCAAAAACATTTCCACGTCCATCTTGTACTACTACTACTACTAATAATAAAATTTATTTATATCCCGCTTATTGACAAACAATCCAAGCGGCTTACAATACTCAGAACAAAAAGGGGGCCACCTCAAAGCCAAGCTCCAAGTTGCAGGAAACAAGATACGGACACGCAATATAT